TCCCAAGGGATCTTATTAACAATTTCCCTGAATAGCCTGAAATCTACTCTCCCTATATCCAGTATCGATGTTTTGGTGGCGGTTTTCCTCCTATCACTTACTTTAAATACAACCACCTCATGGCCACTGTGGCCAAGATGGCCACCAATCACTCTTTCACTAAATGGTCTTTAAAGTACCTTCAATCTAAGCCATTCTAAGATTCTACTATTTTGTCCCCTCATAATATTAAGCTTTATAATTTAAATGTCAGATTTAGTGGAAACTCAATGAAAAGAATCCCCAAAAATCAACAGCTTCAGAAATAAGCAGATGAAACATCATCTAATAAGAGCAACGATTATAATTACATTACCATGCAATTTAATTCCAGCTAAGAATTAATGTACAGTCTTTGCATAATTATGTACTAATTCATCAACATTTTCTTCAGCATAAGATTTCTCACCTTTCTAAAATGTTACTTAAATAAGGTTTCTACCTGATCTGCTTCTTTACACACAAGAACATTACTCAAAATGAAATAGTAATATTGAACTAGTTAGTTTTTAATCATGACTTTTTGCAGCAGTAGAAATATTATTAAACTGAAGTCACTGTCGCAATAAAAATTGCAGAGATGTTCCCTAAACAAAAATGGGGAACAGAAACAAAAGATTCTAAACACAAACATTTTCAGTACGTTCAAAAAAGAACTATGGATCTATTAAGTTAGAAGAATAGAAGTTAGTTGCCAAAAGAACGTCTGTTTCAAAAAGAAAGATCACACTACATCAAGTACATTGTGCTGTGAAAAAAAAAAAAAAAAAAAAAAAAAGAGCCTGCTTAACTTCCAGAAACTGTTGACGATGGGAAAAAAATGTGCATAACCACAACTGGAGTTTTCCAACAGCAATGCACTACTCAAATAAAACTGCGTGGTAAATCAAAGAAATAGCAGAGGAAAAATATGATCCAGTTCTTAGTGAATCATCAAAAACTGTTGACTGCCACTAGACCAAAGATCGTAAGTCTTATCAGGTAAACAATCTGTCCAAATAATTAAGTTCCCACTTAGAAGTCTAGAACTCAAGCACTATTTTCTCTTCTCGAACCACATGTTCCTTTTACAATATGTTAGTTAGAGGATGCCACTTACTAACAGGACTATTAAGAGAAAACAGATAATCTGCATCAGAAAACAGAATATGGATAACAAAAACTGAGAGATTCTTTTTATCTAAAGTATCATATTAAAGCTCAAGTGAACTGCTACGTACTACATGAATCTTATTAACACCTTTCTGCTTTTCTTGTTCACATGACAGGTTTGAAATGTATTATGAAGGCTTTCAGTATACCATGTGGATCTACCAGAATAACTTTTATGTTTGCATATACATTTTCCAGGTATTTATAAAGAAACGTTCAATAATAAAAACTCATCTCCCAAAAAACCTGCTTATATCCTTGTCATTCTCTATGACATTTGAAAAGCTGTGGCAATCAGGTGAAACCTTTGGTGACTGGAAAAAAGGTAACACCACACTCATTTTTAAGAAGGGTAAAAAAGATGACCCCTGGAACTGCCAAACTATCAGACTCATCTCTGTGCCAGGGATGATCATGGAACAGATCCTCCTGGAAGCTATGCTAAGGCATGTGGCAGGGACATGATACAGAAGAACTAGCATGTCTTCACCAGGGCAAATCCCTCTTAACCAACCTAGTGGCCTTCTATGATCGTGTCACTCAATCAATTGACAAGGGAAGAGCCACTGATATCATCTATCTGGATTTCAGTAAGGCTTTTGACACAGTATCCTTCTCTCCAAATTGGAAAGATATGGATTTGATGGGCGAACTGTTCGATAGACAAAGAACTGGCTGCAGGATCGAGTCCAGACAGTGGTCAATGGTTCAATGTCTGGATGGAGATCAATGATGAGTGGTGTCCTCTACGGATCAGTGCTGGAGCCGAAATTCTTATATCTTCATCAATGACATTGACAGCAAGTTGCTGATAACACACCAAGCTGTGGAGTGCAGTCGACACACCAGAGGGATGGGATGCCATTCAGAGGGACCTAGACAGGCTAGAGCAGTGGGCCCAGGTGAACCTCATGAAGTTCAACAAATCCAAGTGCAAGTCTTGCACCTAGGTCAAGGCAACCCTCACTACCAATACAAATTTGGGGAATGTAAAGACTGAGCGCAGCCCTGCCGAAAAAAGACTTGGGGATACTGGTGAATGGGAAGCCAGACATGAGCCAGCAATGTGACCTTGCATCCTGGACTGCATCTAAAAAAGCCAGTAGGGCAAGGGAGGTGTTCCAGCCCCTCTACTCTGCAGTGGTCAGGCCCCACCAGGAGTACTGCATCCAGATGTGGAGTCCTCAGTACAGGAGAAACATGGACTATTGGAGCACATTAAAATGATGTGTGGAATGGAACAGCTCTCCTATGAGGACAAGCTGAGTGAGCTGCAGCTGTTCAGCCTGGAGAAGAGAAAGCTGAAAGGAGACCTGATAGCAGCTTTTCAGTATTTAAAGGGGAAAATACAGGAAAGAAGGGACAGATTCCTTAGCAGGGTCTGTGGTAATAGAACAGGGGGGGAACTGGCTTCAAGCTCAAAGAAATAGATTTAAGTTAGATATAAGGAAAAAATCTTATAGAGTGAGAGTGGGGAGGCACTGGAACAAGTTACCTAGTGTTGTGGTTGATGCTCCATCCCTGGACACTTTCAAGGTGAGGTTGGATAAGGCCCTGGGCAAACTGATATAGCTGTGATGTCCCTGTTCTCTGCAGGGAGTTAGACTAGATGGCATTTAAAGGTCCCTTCCAACTCTGAGGATTTGATGATTCTATCTTCCTATTCAACTGCTTTCATATAGTACAGATAGTTGCAAGATAGTTCTAAACTATGACTACAATTGGTAGCTTTTTTTGAATGAATATTTACAATTGAAGAAAAACATGAACAAGTGACTAATGAATTCCAGAGCTTCAAACATCCATTATTTATAGAACTAAAAAGAGTTCAGACAATGAAGTGGAAAAACATATTGAACAAAAAAGATAAAGTCTGCATTCTGGTTCTGCTACTTATCTTAAAATTGGAAAACTCTGCATTTACATTTTGATATTTTGTATTCTCTGAGAAATGTATTTAAAAAAAAAAGAAAAAAAGAGAAGTCCTAGGAGCTACCCATATTTTTATGGAACATGAAAGGACAAGGTGACTGACAAAGCTTCTCAAAAAAACCTAGTATTTTATATTTATTTGCAAGAAAGAAGGCAAAAATGTGTGTCTAAGAAGTTAAGACCGTTTCTAGCAACATTAAAGCTTATCTTTAAGTCCTACCCCCACACTTCTGCCACTGTATAGAAGCAGTCTACAATTAGAAAATCTTTAAAACAAAAGGCAACATCTTGATCAGTAGGGAAAACTTAAGCTGAGACTAATACTGGAAAATAGTCCCTGTGATCGTCCAATGAAATCACTCCAAACCAGACCTGAAAAGCCAATAAAGCCTATGAAATCACAAGAAAAATAACCGGCTCAGTTGTCAAAGTCAGACTAATGAAATCTTCTCAGAACTAAATGCAACAAACTCACAACAACATTAACAACGAGTCTTATCTAAACATTACCTGCTATAAAGATCTGACCACTTGTTTGGCTCTATTACCTCCAAACCAGCTTTTGCAAATACAGAATACATTGAAACTTCTGGCATCTGTGATTAACAGTCAGTTAATTTAGGAAGTATAAAACAGCATGAAGTAATGCTCTTTCAGATGTATTACATGCTAGATCTATCATATACAACAATTGTTACTATCAAATATTAGAATAAACATATACAAGGAATTAAGTCATAGAATCATGGGATAGTTTGGTTGGAAGAGACCTTTAAGATCATCTAGTTCCAACGCACCTGCTATAGGCAGGACCACCTCCCTCTAGACCAGGTTACTCACAGCTCCATCCAGCCTGGCCTTGAATGCCTCCATGGTGGGAGTATCCACAGCCTCACTGTGCAACCTGTTCAAGTGTCTCACCACTCTCACAGTAAGGAATTTCTTCCTAATATCTAGTCTAAACTATCTCTTCCAGTTTAAAGCCACTTTCCCTCATCCTGTTGATGCATGCCCTTCTAAGAAGTCCCTCTCCAGTTTTTCTGTAGGCCCTCTTCAGGTACTGGAAGGTCACTATAAGGTTTCCCCACAGCCTTCTCTTCTCCAGGCTGTAGGGCCCCAACTCTCTCAGTCTGTCCCTGTAGGGCAGGTGCTCCAGTCCTGTGAACCACCTTCGTGGCACTTTTCTGGACCAACTCTCTATGTCCTTCTTGTGCTAGAGGCCCCAGAACTGGATGCAATACTCCAGATCTCCAAGTTTATGCACATTCATAGACTCAAGAATAATTTCAGTTAAAAGTTTTAACCTGAAAACTCACAAAACTATCCCAGAATCATCACTACACTCTGCTTTTCAAGTCAAGAGAACTAATAACTGGCTGTTCCTACCATAAAAAAAGTTCACTGACATCTGTACTCTGTATCTGCCAAACTTGCTCAGTGTGTGCCACAGATATTCTCTTTTGTGTCATACAAGCCAAAGAAAGACAAAAGCAACTGGCATTACAAGCAGTACAAGCTTCAAGAAATTAATTTTAACTTGTAGCTTTTAGAAGCATGACTCACTTTTGTTCTCTAATTTGATTTGACCATATCCAGAAGACAAAATACATGAGTTTTTCTGACAAGTTAAATGTTATGGCTTTTTATCTGTCACTCTTTCATACAATAGAGAAATGGACAGATACTTGATGCATGATGCAGACTATTAAAGTTATATTCCTGCTAATGTAAAAATCAGGTTTTGATTTGAAGACCCTAAAAATTCTTCAAATTCTGGAGCAGGCCTGTAGATACTGAGAGGATTTGTTCAACATAAACATACTTCACACTGAACACTTGAAAATAAAAGCATACTGCAAGAAATGAAATGAAATTACCTGAAGTATCTTATAATGATCTTGATGTGAAAGAGCTTTCTCTTTTTTCTCCTTCAAGAAATTCATTTCTTGTACACTATGTTTTTCCAGTAAATATTCTAATTCCTGTAAAGATTACAAAATGCAATAAAAGAAGTAAAAATGTTTGTGAGCTGTGAAAATACAGATTTAAATCATCATTCCAACTAGCTTCAGTTCTGAAGACAATAACATTTTCTATCATAACATCAGAAAATACTTAAAATCAAGTATTTCCACATTTTAAGTGGTTTCTGTCTTTCTACAGTTGAATACCTCAAGTACTTTTAGAGAACGGTTTCACTAAAAGGCACCTCCATCCCCGAAATGACTAGAACCTTAACATAACCAACTCCCAGCATGAACCAAATAAGTGGAAGGAAAATGGCACCACTACTAATTTCCAAAATTATTTGCTGAACAAAAAGCTGAAGACCATTTTTTTTTTTCCCATGTAGCTGTTGCTCCTACCAAATGCTTCCCTATAAATAAGCTGTGGGCACCTTTCAGTTGCTCAAGAACAACTATTTTCTCAGCCACTGAAGAAGCCAATTTAGAAACAAATAAGCATCCAAATCACTGGATAGCTATTCAAAAAAATAAATAAATAAAATAAAAAAAAATAAAAAGTGCAACTGAGACGGTCAAAAAGAGGACAAAAGGAGCAGGTAGGCTTAGCTCACTCCTGCATTTGGATGAAATAAGGACAGCATCTGAGATTCAAAGTCTGATTCAAGCGTAGAGAGAGAGTTTGCAACACTTCATTATGTAGAGCAGGCATGCCCAACCCACAGCCCACGGTCCACATGCAGCCCTGCCCAAAGCCATACTGTGGTCTGCTCCCTCCTCCCTGACACCATCATGGTGGTGGCTCTTCCCCACTGTGTGGTCCAGCCTGGCCCCAAGTGTGTGCCCATCACTCAGCAACAACAAACAATCAGTGTGTGATGGACATTTTTGGGGCTGAAATCAGCACAAGATGGGGTGGAGGGAGAGATTGGAGCACACATTGCAGCGCTAAGGCAAAGAATTATATGCATTTTGGTACATTGGCTATACACAGTCCTTTGAACAGCAAACAATATGCAGCCTTGATTTCCATTTTGACAAAGGAATTTGTCAAACGGTTTAAAGATTGCTTAGAAAATCATCATCTTTTTTCATATATTTACAACTACATTTTCAGTTGATGTAAATACATTTCTTGCAAGTTTTCAAATGGAATATACAGAGTTGCAATCAGACATTCAACATGAAGAAAAATCTGAGAATGTCTCTTTAATAAGACCTTTCTGATGAGAGAAAAAAATCCCTTGCTTCACAATCACACCTTATTCATGTCATCACTTTTTTGGCAGTACATGTTTTTCTGAACAACTGTTTTTAAGGGTAAAGGACAAGAGTGAAACTCTTTGATGAACAAACACCTTGAGAGCTCACTAAGAAGTGCAAACACTTTCAATGAACCAGTGATGTATTAGTTTCACAAAAACAAAGCCAAATATTCCATGAGTTTTAGTGGCCCTTTTTTAATGTTTCAAAAACAAAAATTTAAAATGTAAAACAAGGTTTGTTAGTTATATAATATTGTTAAAGTGGCCCAAGATAATTCCTCATCACTCAATGAGGCCCATGAAAGCCAAGAGGTTGGACACCCACGATGTAGCTCTTATTTCTTTGTATGTCTCTCTTATAATCTGTACTCATGCTAACCTTACTTCCCTTTTGGTATGCTCTTAACTTCCAGCAATATCAATTCACACTAGATCTTCCCAATCTTGTCTTAATTACTCATCTCCATCTTCATTTTTATTTCCATGTGGTAAGAGACTTGGGCTGAGTTAATGTCTCAAAAACTAGGCAGGAAAAGAAGATGTTGCAGTCACCTGCAGGATCACCTGTGAGAGACTGAGGTGTTGCCCAGCCTCTTCCCTGGAAGGTCCTAGAACAGACTGAGTATATGTGAACCAGATTATAAAAGGTATAAGCACCACTGGATAACCACTGTCTTTTTCTCCTTTTCACTTCACTTTCGCTACTGTAATTCTGCTGAGTCTTAAGTGATTGAGACTCAAATTTGTGATTTGTCTCAAGTAATTGTCATTAGTCCTGGTTACCAAACAGAGAATTAAAAAGGTAACCCTAGCCCACCAAGAGGATAGGACACTTAGTCTCCAGCATCTCAGTGACATTTGATTTAGTCAGATACACCACAACAAGCATGATCCTGCTTGGTACTCTACAACACTCAGTGTGGAAGCAACATGAATTTATTTACCAGATCTCCCAAGAGAAATTAAAAAAAAAAAAAAAAAAAAAAAAAGGCATTATATTTATATAGACAGCCAAAGGCACTTTCAACTTCAGAGACCACACACACTCCCAAAACATTGTTAAGGTTTCGTACCATATGACCTTACACTGAGACATTTTGTCTTTCTAAAAACTGGCTCAATTTGGTTATTTTCTCTTAGAGAGCTTTGTAAATGTAAGATTTTTTTTATTTTTTTTTTTAAACAGAAAAACAAAACATACCTTTTTAATTTTTAATTTTTCTTCCTCAGCAGCACAAAGATTGATTTCTAGATTTGCTAGAGTTTGTTGAAGGCAGCTCTTTGATTCGTTTGTTCTCTGTGTCTGAGCATCATCCATAGCAACGGACGATGTGACTGAAGACTTATCTTCTGTTACATTCAAAGAGGCAACTGGAATATCTACTTGAATCTAATTTACAAGGAAAACAAAATGGTAAAAGAGATAGCAAAGAGAATTTAATATTCCAGTCAAGTTAAATTTCATTTCCAATTGAAATTACAGACCTTAATAAATATAAACACAGAGGTTTCTTATTTGTAATCATATTTCGTTGACATCATACATGTGAGAGGGTGCATGGATAATGTGCTAGCCAAAAAGAAAGCTCCAACAATGGAACAGGAACTAGAAATTCTACTCGCATTCAGATCAATTCTTTACATCTCCTCCATTGCCTTTTCAAGAAATACTTTGTAGAAGGCTTTTAAGGAGACTGACATCAGATACTTCAGTTCTGAATGAGGTCAAAACACTAACAATATGTGAAAAGGGGACAAGAGTGAAACAAAATCATTGCTCTAACAGCATCGGGCTTAAGGGAAATAAACTTCCATGGATTAGTCACTCCTTGTTTTTCATCCAATGAAGAATACAAACAGTAGCCATAGAAAGTGAAGTGATTAAATAGATTTCAATTAAAATCAGAATACAGAAAAATACTGAGGCTACACCAACAGAATAAGAGTAACTAAGACATCTGCAGCAGTTAGCTAATGCTATTTCTGTAAACTGCACAAGTACAAGAACTGAAACAGAGGCCTCTTGAATATACTACCTAAGACAGAGAGTACATTAACAATAGTATACTTTCAGCAAAGCATAAAGGTAAATTAGGTGAAATTTTAAATATTTTATGGTACAATTAACAGAAGATACGGCTTCATTTCTTTTCCTAATTGGGAAAAAAAAAAAAAAAAAAAAAAAAAAATCAAACCTTACTTGTTTGTATAGCTGCAGAGGAATTTCAAAGGAAAAAACGAGTACATTAACTTCAGCTAAAAAGCAAATATGTTCTCTAACAACTTTTTGAAAGCTAACAGCACTTGAGATTTGGGGGGAGAGGGGAGGGGAAGCAAAGGAACATCTCAGTATGTTTTTTTAGGAGAGGACTGAATGATATGATGTAGTCCATTCCCCCAACGCATTTTATTAAAACAATCACTAAAGTAATGAACCGACTTTTTGATAACTAGATTCAATGAAAAACAAGCAAAAATAGCAAAGACCTTGACTGTACATGAATGTGCAAGATCCAGAATATAAAACGGACAGATAGAGAGCTGCAGTTTGTTCTCTCAATTCACTTTGTCAGAAACAAAGAGAAGGTAGATCTGGCCTTGGACTCCCAAAACAAGGACAAGGACCTGTTACCCAAAGTCAAGAGAAGGCCAAAACAAAGATGAAAGGGCTGGAGTACCTCTCCAATGAAGTCAGGCTGAGGGAACTGGGTTTGTGCAGGCTCGAGAAAAGGATCTATTGAGACAGCCTGGAAGTATTTAATGGGGACCTACAGGAAAGATGGGGAGAGACTCTTAACAAGTAGTGTAATGATAGGTTAAGGGGTAATAGTTTCAAACTAGAATTAATTATTTACTCAGAGGGTGGTGGAGCACTGGCACATGATGCCCAGAGAAGCTATGAATACCTCGACTCTGGAGGTGTTCAAGGCCAGGTTGTATGGTGTTTGGGCAACCTGATCCAGTGGGAAGTGTTCCTGCCCAGCATGGGGGGGGGCTGGAATTAGATGATCTTTAAGGTCCCTTCCAAACCAAATAATTCTGTCATTCTTTGATTCTCTGAATTTAAGGGAAAAAATAAAATTCATTCTAATTAAGGGGAAAAATAAATGTTAATTCTCTAACTGTAATATCACTTAAGAATTAAACAGAAGTATATCTTTACAGATTTAACAGTAATATATACGCACACACACGTATATACGTATAGAAATTTTTGCTACCAGTTCCTATTTTCATTCTTAGTACTATAAACAGGCCTTTAATATACTTATCACTCTTGCAGTCCATACCAAACTAGTATGGAATCTCCCAATTAGAAGACTTAAACACTATTTTCTTATGTCCTACACTCCTACAGAATCAAAAGTTATTTTACTTGAGAATCTAAATCACAAAAATCAAAGGGCCAGCATTTGCTCTTAAAACACAAACTAAATTTGTATAGAAAAAATGTAATGCTAAGATATTTAATACATCAAGTTCTCTTGTTGAAATACAAATTGTGATTGCTGTTTTACCTGTTCTTCAAGAACAGCTGAGTTTATCATATTGTTGGCTGTCTGACTGGATGTTGCCACATTATCATTTGACAAAGTGAATGAGTCGGAAGGATCCAGGAAGGATGAAGGCACAGAGTGCTCCAGAAGAACATCAGGAGAAACATTCTGAGTTATATGGACTTCAAACTCTAGTGCATGAAATAGAAACAGAAAAACAAACAACTTGAAGATGCCTTCAAAAATTATGTTTCTGAAATCTAAACATATAGCAGTAGCAAAAAGTTTAAGGAGTCATAGTCAAATAAGAATATGTAACTTTCACAAACAAAATGCGCTGAAATGTAACTCCACACAAAGTTCTTTGATTTTTAAGTACTACCATCTTAACAAAATGCAAATTTATACAGTCACACTAAATTTAGACTTGTAACTTACACAAAGATTTCAGGAGGCAACCGCCATCCGTAACTATTGTCTCTTCTCAGAGCACTTTAGTTTCAGCATGACCTCAAATCAATTTAAGTCAACTGTAAAAACATATCTGCAAGTTCCTATCTTTTATAAATTTTTACCAAGACACTTGATAAAAGCAAGTTTTCATTTTAGAACAGATCAAAAAGAACAACAATATAGTTATCTTTTGATAGCAAGTTAATAACTTTACAGCTAGTAAAGCAAAAATGTAATTAAATATTGGTGTGAGTTCTTTCTTGCAGTTTATGCTGCAAGAAAAGGAACAGAGGATATTCACCAACCCTGCGCTACAGAAACTAGAATGCTTTTATGACAGATTCAGATACACTCTAAGTAAAAATAAATCCTTGCTTACTTTCTTAATTTAACAACAAAATCCTATGATCTTTTATTTTCACAATTCTGCCCATACAATACATACGCCGCTCTGGAAGTAATACATCCTATTTACATCCATGGAAACTACAACAGATACAATGAGCATAATAATACTATTTGATGGAGCAAATTCTCAGCTACAAAACACTGTTTTTCAGTATAGTCACAAACATTAGCCATGCATTTTTGTCAGCGATGAACAAGAATCTGCACACTGCGCTTCTAAAAATCTGCATGACTGTCCAGAATCTGTTGTGGCTTGTCTTTCATGTCACTGTCACCACTGCTGAAAACCACCACCCTCCTCTTCATTGTACTAGCATCCACTGTTTGGTCTGCATAAGCATTCAGCAAGCATCAATGAATGTCAGTGGGTTTTTTTCCTGCAGGGAGTAATTCAGTGATGCACTCTTGCTTTATAGATACTTCCACATCAGATGCCATTTTGTCAGACTGCCTTCAGTTGCCATCTGTCACATGGCAACAAAACATAAGGAAATATTGGTGGGAAGATTCAGTCTCTACTGCCATACCACCAACATCTGTCTCTGATGTTTGCTGGCTAACATAAATATTCCAAAAGAAATGCCCCCAATTTTGTTATGTCAGCACAAGCAGTTACAACCATTAAGTATTTCATGAAAGAAAAAGACCTACTAGAATAACATTTTCTTTGAAATCATTTAATGACTATATGTTGACAGTACTATCCTGAAACTTCTGACATAGAGGCCTTTCTGCTCGAGTACGTGCAATCAAAAAGTATATGCAATTGCATTAGAAAAAATAGTTCACTCTAATATATCTGGTGAACTGTAGAGATTACCTGAGGAAGGCTCAGATTCTCAAAATCATCGCTGAATGAATTGCATTCATACATATATACAGAACAAGTAAATATAATTGGCCTAGAGGCATTCTAAATGATAAATCTATTCCTTGAATCCGGTATGCCATGTTCCACCTTCTTTACCTTCCCAATTTACGATTCAGGTTAAGAAAGACACAAACCTTTATCTATGAAAACGAAAGAAGAAAGACTACATAAAAGAAGATCACCAGGGTGTTAAGCAAAGCAAGAATGTATTTAGACACATGGAGAAGAAAAAAAAACAAACAAAAAAGGAAAACTGGATGAAAATGCTAGAGAACAGTATTTCAAAAATTAAAAGGAGAGAACAGTTTAGGTAACCAAGACCAACAAAAACAGACTTGGAAACAGCAGTATTTTTAACTCTTCTCCATAATCTTAAACGTGACTTTTTATGCTTCCTTTATGTAACATAAATTATCTGTGAAATCCACTAGAAGATTCTATTTAACTTTTTCCCGCCCTTCCAAATGTGTGTTCACAAAGAAAAGGCAGTTTCCTAAAGCCATTACCTCCTCTATTAGTTGAAGTGACAGAGATGAAGACAGAGAACACTACCTTTTGAATTGCTAAAAAAAAAAAAAAAAAAAAAAAAAACAACACACCACAACAATAAGGTCTCAGTTTTATGCTGTCACTTGATACCCTGACTTTCAGCTGAAATCTGTTTCCAATAGATGGAACATCAACTAAAGTAACATACCAGATAATTCTGACTGAGCAGACAAGATGTTTCTGTGATTAAAACTGCTAGCACAAATAGAAAAACCTAGCGCAACACTGATTCCCAAGTTGTTACCATTCATACTTTGGCTATGATTATTAGAACACAGCCATTGTTCAAACAAATAATTTACCACAGAAGCAAAAAACATGAGACTGGGACACATAAGACAACTTTTCAAATAATTTTTTTTGTGAAACTTCTTTTATAATCAAGTTGAGCTTTCAGTGACTTTCAATAATAAAAGTTTAATATTTTGAGGAGAAAGAAAAAAGAAACAAAAAATAAATTAAAAAAAATCTCAATTCCTCAACTGTAAAAATAAAGCCTGGAAAACAAGGAGCAACAAATGATAACCACTCTGAACACTATGGTTTGAACTAAACACATGACCCACATGATCTTGCAGAAGACAAGGAATAAAGGCAAGCCTGAGATATCTTTTTTTTCCCCACAAAGCTTTTGCTTTCAGCAGCATGGACTCATCATTCTAGGAAAATCTAATTAATATTTGCTATGTCTGTAATTCAAGATCTCTTAATTCATTTTTTATGTGTGTGTATGTAACAGGTGGTATGAAATTGCATTAGTATTTCAGTTCAGCTTAAAACATCCTTATGAAGATCATCCTTCAATCCTGAACATAATGTTATGCTTATGTTTCTTACATTATTATGCGTATGTTTTGTACTCCTGGACTGTGAGTGTCTTGCTGTGTCTTCTCTCCAAGAAATCCTAAAATGTTTAACATCCCTCTGAGGGATGAAGTAAGCCGAAGAAGGCCTCAGTTACAGCAGGCAAATGCAGCAATGTCAGCTGTGTCGGTCTGCCCATTAATCCAGACTCATAAATTCATGACTGATCGCCTACCCCAAAAGAGTTCTGTGCCTTCCATTCCCTTACATAAAAGGATACTCCCTGCCCCAGCTTTTGGTTCTTAAAGGGCCTACCCTTCATCCATTCCAACATTTCAGTCATTTGAGCTATCTTCATCATTTTGTCTGTGATCCCAATGAGATCATAGTTCTGCGCAGAGCCTTCTAATTGCTCCAGTTTGATCATCACATATTGTGTTTCAGGGCAACAGCTATTTCAGAGAGGCCCCGTTTGTACTGATTTCTCAAAAGATAAATGAGAGCTCTGCTAATAACGCTATTCTACATGCATTTACTTACTTATGTGTGCATACCTGGGGTGATCCCAGTTCAACATCTTTTCTATTTCCATCCACTCAGACCCTTTGCTTGTCACTCTATTCACCATTTCCTCACTCAGTCACTCCTCCCCATCTCCTACTTTGAAATTTCATGAACTTGTTTTGCTTTTATTTTTTTTAGGTTCACATACTACTGTTAACAAACAAGAAAAAGAATTTATGCCATATGAGACAGTTCAGACTACAGTCTGCGTTACAGATTAAAACTAAACTTTCAATTACATCATCTGATAATTCACCTGCATACAGGTACAAACAGGGTTTTTCTTTCAGAGTATCAAAATTAAGTCTTACAAAAGGAAAGCAGATTAATTCATAACAGTCTACATACATTGCTCTGAAAGTAATGAGTCCTATTTATGTTCATGGAAATTGCAACAGATACAAAGAGCACAGTAACACTATTTGATGGAACAGATTCTCAGCTACAAAGCACTATTTTTCAACACAGTCACCAACATTAGATACACATTTTCATCAAGGATGAGCAAGAGCCTGTACACTGTGTTTATAAAAATCTACATAGCTGTCCAGAATGCGGTTTGTCTTTCACATCGCTGTCATTACAGCTGTAATGCACCATCCACCTCTGAAAACCACCACTCATCACCTCACTGTGCTAACATCCACTGTTTGGCCTCCATAAACATTCAGCAAACGTCAATGAATGCCAGTGGGTGCCATTTTTCTGCATGGAGGAATTTAGTGACACAGCTTCGCTTCATACACACTACCACATCAGACATCATTTCATCAGACTGCTCCTCTGCTGTCATCTGTTGCATGGCAACAAAATGTAATGGAATACTGGTGGGAAGGTTCAATCTCTACTGCCATACCACCAATATCTGCTTCTGACACTGTGAGCCAACATAATAAAATGGGAGGCATTACATTTAGATCAGCCTTCATTCTCAGCCCCTGCAACAAACCCTCTATGCTCAAAATTGAGAGTTTTCTTTGAGTAAAGCAGTTCATTTTTTTTTTTTTTTAATCCATGACTGACTTAAGGGCCAGTCAACATTTCAATTGGATAAACTATACTTATCTTTCTCACTTGTATTCCTCAGTGAAATGCAATGTACAGCTTCTGAAAATAATTACTCAGAAACATTCTTATGTCACTCTTTCACTCCTGTCCACTATTTTATTGCATATACACACTCATGTTCTAGCATTTACAATGAACAGAGAACAGTAATACATTATTAACAATTTAAACCCTGGGTTTTTTATATATTGTTTTTCAAAATCAATACCTGTAGGAAATGCTGCCCATGGAATAGCAGGAGATGTTGTCTGCTTGTCACCATTTCCACACTCATAGCTCTCTGCTGCCTACAAACACAGAAAAAAAAAAAATCATACTTTTTATAAAATGCTATATATATAAAAAATGTTTTAAAACTTTTTTTTTTTTTTTTTTTACCGAAGTTTTCATATAGTAGACAGGAACGTAAGTTCTAAGTAATTTATCTAATTGCACTGAGCATGCATCTTACTATCAGAAAACAGATGTACAAATATAAATAAACTACAAAGCACGTACAAGTAGGGCGTGTTAGAACCCGAGAAGTAAAAACTCTCAGTCAGCAATATAAAAATGTTTGAGCAATTAAACAACATAAATGTAGGATAATAGACCAGATACACGGTATGTATGGAGGTACGAGAGACATGTTTATTGCTGAACAAATATCAGCTATGTTTAACAAACAGAAATTTAGTTTAAGAAGATTTATGATACTTGAGAATACAATACTTAGGAAGTTAAAGATTAAATAAAATCTATTTATCATCCCCTACTTCAGTACAACTTCAGAATAAAATATTAGTCTGCATTACTAAAGTACATAACTATTAATTTGACATTTTCATAAGTTAACAAAATTAACAGAAGCACAGGTGTAATATATTTCTTGAAAATAATACTGTCAAAACCACATAAACAGTTAGGTTTCAAAATTAAATCAACATACCTCAAATCCTCCAAAATCATCATCATCCATTTTTCAACAAGTACTACAGTATGGTAGAAATCCTGATTTAAAAACAAAACCAAAATCACCAATTATTTATATCCTGTTTACAACCCAATACACTGCAGGAAAATGAATACACTTCATTAGTCAGTTTCATAAGACAAATGTGTCAATTTTCTGATCAACTAAGAATCAAAAAGAAAAAAAAAATGACTCCTATATTGTAACTCAGTTAAATGACAGATGAATAAACAGTTGGATACAAATTCCTAGCTCATCTACTGTGCTCTTCCTAACCTTATCACCTTTACATTCAGAAAAGAGGATTCAGTCATTCACTGCTCAACTCTAACTCCACAAGCTATCTGAAATCATCCCAATGTACAAGTTCCACAAAAGATCAAGAGTACTATAAAAAAGAAATTAAAAAAAATTCAGAGGTTACAAGGACTAGAGCTGCAAGATTTCTTGTAAGAAGCAAATTTTTATTGATACAAGTAAAAGATTTGAATCTTTTAAAATCTTCAAGAGAAAAGATAAGCACAATATTGAACAGAATAAGACAGTAACAAATGCTTTTTAAGATGGGAAAATAGGAAAAGTTGAAGTTACGTCTATTGCTCTGAAACATAGCAAGCAATTGTCTAGTACCTACAGAAATGATACTGACAGCAACATAATCCAGTTTATCTGAATATTATAAAAAACAATTTCAGATCATTAGATTCTGAAATGAAGAATTTTCTTAATTAATAATGAACATAACTCAATTTAATGATACAGAAATATGCAGTATAATTTACAGCTCTGTGATGAGAACTTAAAATATAAAAACAGCATCTATTCTTAAGCTGCTTTTCCAAATCAGCACTGTAATTAAATCAAATATGTTTCCTGCCTTTCCCATTTATTCTTAGCTGTCAGCACAAACTGCAGTTCAGAAAAATCTTGCAGTGAATTTCTGGAAATCTTTTTGGTACCACAGAGGTCCGTCTCTAGGTTTCATGCAGGGGTTGATTTAGATTTTACAATCTGATCAGCATTTTTGAGTTGTAGCCCTAAATTCTGTGGTATTTTGAAATATTTATAGTTAAGCTGACATTCCTTTTACAAAACTGCAGGATAAGTTAAGTTGCTAGTGAAAGTAACCCAAGATATACATGGCTGTTCATGGAAGGGTATTATAAATAATTAAGTGAAAAAAAATTCACCATGATATGCAAATGAAGGATGATTCAAAAAGACATATAGCTTTTTTTTTTTTTTTTTTTTTTTAATGTCAAAATAGTTGCAAAGTGAATTGACTTTAGTTTATAGGGTGGAGAAACTTTATACTATGAAAGCACATCTTCAGAAACAGAACAGTTCAAAAGGTTTGGAGGACATCTCCAAATTTCTGTCAAACTAGATACCTTCAGTTTATATCCTCTGTTGGAAAACACTACCAGGAAAAGCTTAAATAAACATCTTCCAAACTTTAACATATTTATTTCCAAGTTCTTACTGATAAATTTCAATTAAATCAACACTGTTAAAATGTAAGTAGATCTGGTTCAACGGAAAAAGAGCATGATCCAATATTTAGTTTTGATTTTCAGAACTACACATCTTTTTAGGGACTGCAAATGTTTAGTTTGTTCCAGAGGGAGAAGGTGATTGAGTATTTTTCCAGTCAGTATTAATCTTAACTGGTTTGTTATTCGTGCATTCGGTTAACATTCAGAACTTTAATATGCTATTGAAAAATATGAAATCTGCAAACATAAATGACAGCAACGAAAGTGAAATTGGAACAGCACTGCAGAATCAAGGCAGCCATGTATAAACGAGAAAGTGAACATACACTACTAAATGGCATTCCAAGACAAGTTGGCAACTATAAAACTTAACCTGATCTTTAATCTGAGGTACTAAAAGGAATCTGAAAATTCTGGATGAATTATTTTTACTATAGAAGGCTGCTATGTTAAATGAGCCCTCCTCTTGATTTAAAAAGAGCTTCATTGTGGAAAAGAATGTAAATTGCTATATATATAAAATCATAAGAACCCGCAATAATTGCATTCTGTTTAATTTGAATTAAAACATACAATAGTAATAAGTCTTTCAGCATGATTATTGAAACACCTCTAGTTTCATTTAACCCTGTATATAGCCTGATGCACTTTGCAATAGAAATTTCTTATAATATACTTAACACAGTTAATTCAGCTAACAGAAATGTTTCTGTGAAAAGGTGAAACATCTTTCTTAACTCTTACTTTTGTTGATGCGCTTGGAAAACTCCAAACTAACTGCTGTAGAATAAATTCAGTCTAACAACACGTTCCTGAAATATACCTAATACTTTCAATGTGGCTTAGCACCTTAACAAGAACTTTTAAAACTACGTAATAGTAACGTTCTAAACTTATTCAAAGAAACAGCATTCATATAGCAATCAGAGCTAAAATCTTTAGAAAGGCAAATGACTATTTTATCTACACTACGCATGTCATGGCTTCAGGTTCCATAGGCTGTACTAGAAGTTACTTCAAAGTACCACATTCCAAATAGCAGATTTTCTCACCAAAGAGCAAAAGATACTCTCTTTTTCTCAGAACCAGTTGTCAAATCTCAACAGGAGAAAGTACATTCCACATTTAGTACCCTGTTTTATAACACTAACTGGAAGAAATTCAGAGAAATTTTGGAGAGGCACACTGAATTAGAGAAGTAGAGCTGAGGGAAAACAAATAAACAAGAATCTATAAAATACGAAAGATAATATTCAAAGAATAAAACTGATCAATTAATTTATCATCACATCCAGTAAAAACAGATGTCTCTGTAGGAAAAACACATATTAAACATTAGCAAGAATTTCAAAGGCAACAACAAACCACAACAAGAACACTTTTAAAAATTTAGGGATATATGAAACAGAAGTAAGTCACTTTTCACACACACACACACACAGTTATTGAATCCATCATATTTACATTACATTTTACATATAGCATTCATAATTTCGAGATCGTGATCAGACTTATCTTAACATTACCTTGCTTCACAAATTTTAGCAGGCATTTCTTGGCTGTTTGGCCTAGCATGATTTGAATTATGCCACATATCATCTAAATGGGAAACAGGAAAAAAAAAATCCCAAAGAAATCCAAGAAAGACATGGAAATACCTTTGATACAACTGCTAATCCACTGATTTTCAAGTCTTCAGAGATTCCATATAAATTCTAGGCTAAAAGATGGTCAACCAGTGTATGGGAACTGCTAAGTCACGCCCTGAACCTCTGATTAATCACCTGAGGCAAGCAATGAGTCTGCCGGGGGAGCACAGGTGAAAGCAATTCACCTGTGCTGCAGGAAAGGGTGGAGCCTGGCTCCACCTCTCCTAGACCCATTTAAGAGCTGACTACCAGTGGGGAAGGATCTCTCTTCTGAAGATCCATTCCACTGGAGTTTACTGAGTAAGGCTGCAATACAGGTAAGCATCCTATCTATTCTCTTTATCTTGCTTTGCCTAATTTTCTTGTTTATTTCATTATTAGAACATCTTAATATTATTGATTATACAATATTCCTTTCTACAATTTTCCTCAATTATACACTATCTTAATATTCTTTGATTATACAACCAGCTAGGAAGGATCCCTTGTTACACATTTAAATGCACCTCTGCTTTTGAACAAAAAGCTTTCTGGTCTGTAAAAAAGAAACACAGGCCTGTTCACATATTTTGTTTAATGAAGACAAAAAAAAAAATCAGAATGTAACCGCAAATTTGGCAAGTATATGAGTAAGCAATGTATAGACTAAGTACTAATGAATTTGGACAAAAGACATTTCAGAAATTCAGCAGTTGATGATTACGCTTTAGATAAAGTCTTAATACAAGAATTATTACTACGAGCTACTGTCTGTCCAAATGTATATTTCTTCTTGCATAAAACGTTTCTTTCCCTAGGGACTGGGAACAATATCTCATAAAATCATAGAACCACTTGAGTTGAAAGAAAACAAGGGGGGCATCTACAGCTAGATCAAGTTGCTCTGAGTCCCCTACAATCTAATCTTGAACATCCCCAAGGAGAGGCCATCCATCACCTCTCTGGGCAACCTGTCCTAGTGCTTCAATATCCTTATAGGATCTTCTTTCTTATATCCAAACCGAATCTGCCCTTGTGTTATCACAACAGGCCCCGCTAAAGAGTCTATCCCCCTAATTCTTCTGTCTCGCTTTAGATACTAAAAAGCCTCTATTAGCTTTCCCCAGAGCCTTCTCTTCTCCAAGTGAACAGTCCCAGCTCTATCAGCTGATAAGGAAGGTATTCCATCCCTTGGATCACTTCTGTGGCCCTCCTCTGGATGTGCTCCAACAGGTCCATGTCTCTCCTGTACTGGGTACTCCACATCTGGGTACAGTAATTGGCTGACAACACTTCTTTTGATGCAGCCCAGAATATGGTTGGCATTCTGGGCTGCAAGGGCACATTGCTGGCTCATGTCTGGCTTACCATCCACCAGTATCCCCAGGTCCTTTTTGTCAAGGCTGTGCTCTATCATTTCTTCTAGTTTGTACAGATGGTGGAAGTTGCAGCAATCCAGGTACAAGACTTTGCACTTGGATTTTTTTAAAAACTCATGAAGCTCCCCTGAGCCCACTGGTCAAGCCTGTCTAGGTCTGTCTGGATGGCATCCCATCCCCTAGGCATGTTGACTGCACCACACAGCTTGATGTCATCTGCAAAACTCCTGAAGATGCGCTCAATCCCACTGTTGACACCACTGATGAAGATGTTAAAGAGCACTGGTCTCAGTAGTGACCCGATGGACACCACTCACCACTGATCTCCATCCAGACACTGAGCCACTGGCCACCATTCTGAGTATGATCTCATAACAAGTTCCTCATCCAATGAACAGTTCACCCATCAAATCCACATCTTACCAATTTGAAAAGGATGTTGTAGGGTACCATGTTAAAGGCCTTTATTTAAGTCCAGAGAGAAGACATCAGTGGCTCTTCCCTTGCACAGTGATACTGTTATACCATCATAAGCAGTCACTTGGTTGGTTAGGAAAGACTTGCATTTGATGAAGCCATACAGCTTGCCCCTTATCACCTCCCTGTCTTCCAAGTGTCTTAACACAGCTTCCAGGAAGATATGCTCCATGACCTTCCCTGGCACTGTGGTGAGGCTTACAGATTGGTAGTTCCCTGGGTCATTCTTTCTACCCTTCTTAAAAATGAGTGTGACATTGCCTTTTCCCCAGTCACCAGGGACTTCACCTGACTGCTGCAACTATCACTGTGAGTGGCCTGGCAACTACATCAGCCAATTCCCTCAGAACTCTGGGATGCATCTCATCAGAATCCATAGATTTATGGATGTTTAAAGTACCTTAACAGGTTGCAAACTTGGTCTTTGCTCTCAACAGGAGAGACATCACTCCCAGAGTTCCCGCCTTTTGAATGATTCACTCAGGGAATGTATGAAGATCAGCTGCCAGTGAAGACTTAAGGGAAAAAAAGGTTTTGTGGCATCAGAATAGGAAAGATTACGTTAAGTGCTGACAACACAGAGAAGGATAAAAAAAAAAGACAATAAACCAAACCAGAAAACAAACCTGAAACACCAGTCTCACCATGACTAAATGTGATCTCTTAAAATGTGCCTGTTACTAGAATCAAGCAACTGCAAAATTAGATAATAAGGTCACAATCCTTTGAAAAGAAAACTTTTCAAGGATTACAGAGATGTAAGCCACTGCATTTTCATTAAATATTGGATTTTATTATCAAGTTTGTATACAGCAAATCATACAATAATTCAGACTAGAAAATTCAGACTAGAAGAGATCTCAGCAGGTCATCTAGTCCAACCGCTTGCAAAAAGCAGGGTCAACAATGATAAGTTTTCTCAGGACATTCCCTATGACTGCTAACAATGCAAGTTTTGGAATTTGAAGGATCTGTAACACAAGTCTTATGAGGAGTAGCTGAGGGAACTGAGACTGGAGGAGGCTCAGAGGAGACGTTATTGCTCCCTACAACTATCTGAAAGGAGGATGCAGCAAAGCAGGAATTAGCCTCTTTTCCCAGATAACTAGCAATAGAATGAGTAATGGCTTTAAGTTGTGCCAGGGGAGTTTCAGGTGGGATATTAGGAAATGCTCCCTCTCAGAGTGCTAAGGTATTGGAATAGTCTGCCTGGGGGGCACTGTCCCTGGAGGCATTTAAGAAAAGAAAGAAAAGGGTAGATGTGGCACTGAGTGACATGGTTAAGTAGGTATGGTGGTAATGGATTGATGGCTGGTCTAGATAATCTTAGTGGTCTTTTCCAACTTCAATGGTTCTATGATTCTATGAAATACAGACATGTACTTAACTGAGATGCTCACAGGCTTTCTATACGAAACACAGCCACCAACACTCAATCATCAGCTTAACACTCATCATGAGAACTTTGTGAAATACACTTATCTAATAGACCAAAGTCATGTTTTTATACACAGGAAGATGCGTAGACTTTCACAAAGAATAATATAAAAAAGTAAGATGGGAGAAAAAGCCCCCTCTTTCCCAGTCCAGCTGTTCAGAGAAGGAATGTTGTAATCCCTCCATAAATCCTGGTATTCTTCAAATCCAGAAATCAAGATTAGTAGAGATTCAAATGTTGAATTTAAGAATTCTTCATTTGTCTAACTCTGATAACAATTCAAATAAATCAAGTCCTGATCTTTAAGTCAAATATAAGTTTGCTTTGATAACAGAAACAACTAATTTTGCCAGATACATTCTACAAGCCACCACTGACTGGACCATAATTTTGAGAAAGCAGTACACTTAGTTGCATAATTTTGTACACTTCGAAGGATCAACTTGGAAAGCATGCGGCTTTTAGTGTTGCTTTTTTTAAGCTTCCAATTCTGAAATTTGCCTTACAGCAATGTTGTTTGTAATGAAAAGCTTTTGCAAACTTTAAAAACACCTAACCAGATAAAATAATGATTTGGAAAAATTCCTACAAAGACAAAATGTACATTCTGCATTAGAATTTCACTATTTACCATTTGTTTCTGGGAAGTAAAGTATGTATCTGACCAGAGGCAAACTTCAACAAGACCATGAGGAATTACAATTTGGGAAATTTTATTGCATTCCTAATACAGTAAATGCAGCGTTTAAGGAATGAGAATCTTTATCAAAAATTACACTGGACTTCCATGAGAAATTAACAGTTCATAACTAAAGCATAACTAATAAATTAGTAATAGTGATAGGAAATTAGGATGACTATTTCCTCTGATATTCTCAAAATTCTTCTATTAGGAAATATGGTACTTCAATTTCAGTACTCATTAATCAATCTTGGATAAGATAGAGCGTTTTTTTTAATGAGATCTATAGACTCCTGGCTAGAAGAAGAGATGAACATTAGGATGATATTTTAAGAAGAAATACAATTTTTTGTAATTTTAGAGAACAAAGTGTCCAAAGAAACCTAGAAATTCAATTAAGTTTTCTACTGTTAAGAAGGCAGGGGTCTTACTGTTCTCAGATAAAACCAGCACATTAAGGAATGTGACAGTAACAGGCAAACATTAATCTGCATAAAATAACATATGCGAAGTATTTTTAATCTATTCTAAGAGCAAATTTAAGATTCATAACAAACAGCCAATAACAAAAAAACATTGTACCTTCTAGGTCTTTTACTCAGGAGTCAAGCCCCGAACAAAAGGTGCAGAGCCTGTAAGAAACAGGAGCCTTCATTATATGTGTGATTATTTCATATCTAGCTTTATAACTCATTTTGAAATAACACTACTTTCATATAACTCAGTGCAGTATGTAATAAAATAGAAGATGCAGAAGTTGCATTTACATCAGTTTCATGTAATGAGAACATCTTGTGCAATCTTGAGAACTTCTATAACTGCCTTTCCCAATTTTATTTTAAGAAACATTTTCAGAACAATAAAGCACAGCATAGGATTAAACACTAAAATATACACCTTCATAAGCATAATAAGGGTGGACAAAAATCTCAGTAATTATATACAATCATGAGCTGAACAAAAGTTACTCTTTCCTTGGATATAGTTCTTATCAAAGAAATTAAAACTGCTATTCATGAATCATATTCTCAGTTGTGTGGCATCACTCTGAGTACTATCTGCACTTCTGGTCCCCACAATACAAAAAAGAACGTTAAAGTTCTTGAAAGCACCCAGAAGAGGGCATCAAAGCTGGTAACAGGACTGGAAGGCATGCCCTGTGAGGAGAGGCTGAGGATACTTGGGCTGTTCAGCCTGGAGAAGCTGAAAGATCATCTTGCTGCAGCTTCCCTGACTGGAGAAAGCAGAGAGAGGTTCCCAGGAGCAGAGCCTGGTACTGATGGCCACATGTGTGGGAACAGCACAGAACTGTTCCAGGAGAGACTCAGACCAGGCATTAGGAAAAATGTCTTTACTATGAAGGTGGTAAACTATTGGAATAGGCTGTCCTAGTGAAGTGTTGATGTACCATGCTGCTTAGCTTTCAGGAGACATTTAGATAATGCCCTCATTAATATGCTTTAACTTTTGGTTAGCCATGAAGTGGTCAGGAAACTGGATTTTTCTTTGGAGGTCTTTCTAAAACCAATTGGGAGCAAAAGGAAATTACTAGCGGGGGGAAACAACTTTTCCTTGATGCCCAACTTTGTATGTAAAACTACCTGAAAAGCTACTGTAAATGTAGAAGTACCACATATGTGATGTGCATTTAAGTACAGGAAAGACCAAATATAAATTGGAACAAAGGCATTTTCTCCTGGATCAGTACGAAGGTGTCAACTCTAGGCCAGTGTCCAAAATATTATTCTATTTGTGATTCAGAAATAGTTGCTAAGCTTTACTTCAGAGTATTTCCTGAGTTAGAGATCTACCACACAAATGTACCATTTTTGACTCTATACTAAACCACAGTCCATGGACCACATGGGAATTCCTTGCCCAATCTTAAGTACTCAGGATTATATCATACCACAGTGATGCTTCAAATTAAGAGGTTGAATGGAGAGAAGGTCTGTATAGTTTAGCTTCTAAATGCTTTGGTCCCTGAGATCTACCCATAGTCAGGAAAAAAAAAACAAAACAAAAAAAACCACCACACAACTCGCTAACAAGACAAGGACAGACTTAACTCCAGAGGGTTACCTCCTGACAAAAGCAATTTTAGTGACATATTTACTTAGTCACTGAGGATTTTACCTGCTGTGAGTCTTGGTCAGCTATTCCCAACTTTAAGAACTTAGTGTTTTAAAAACCAACAAGCAAAAAAAAAAAACCCTTTTTCACTGCAGATACCTGGATACAAATGAAGACCATTTTAACTCCAGAGCAAGGATTGTACTGCTATTCACCTCCACAAATAATGGAATATTCAGTATTCTTTCTCAGAATACTGAATTCTAACAATTTAAGATGTTATAGAAAGGCCTTCAAAGGCTTCCAATCTTCACCACAGTTTCTTTTGACCAGACCACAAACTTTTGTGGTCATCATAAAATAATCAACCACTTGAATAATTTTAAAAACTATTTAATGTCCCCCTTTAGCCTTCTGCACCACAAACATCTTTTAATTCAAAAGTCACAGAATTTATAAGACATACACAAACTCCTGTGGTAAGTTCAGTAAAGCAGATATAATGAAAATATGTTGTGTTTTCTGAAAGAAAGAAACAATAACACCAATGAGACAGACATTGTTAGAATTAAAGAGCATTTCTGTTTTTCACAGCCAGGCATATACTTGTAATTGCTTCAGATGACTGACAATTGTGAATCCTGGAAATATGTCTGTATTCAATAAATAGCTAAGAAAAGCTTGACCTGTCTACCATTAACTAGGTAACACAGATCAGTCAGTAATCACCCTGTAAACGCTTGTGCAAAAGTGACCGCACTAGGTTCTAATGACTAACACTCAAACCATACTAGTGACCATAAAATTTCAAATTTCTCTTAGAAGACAGAGCTAGACTGGTATCAGACTTACACAGGAACAGGACAAGATGCACAGGAGAAATGCCAGAATAATGAAAATTCTGACCCACTATTGAAATGGGGTAGCCCATAAACAGTGTTGGCTCTTCATTCCAGGATATACTCAGAATCGAACTAGTCTCTGAACAACCTACTCTTTATCCTCCTTTAAGCAAAGTTTTGGACTAGAAAACCTCTACTTCCCTCCCATACATAATCTAAGACCCAATGCTTTCAGAGTATTAAGAACAGTACAGCTAGGAAATGTATTGAATCACAGAAGCAAAGGCTGTAAAAAATAAAAATTAAAATTAGAAAAGAGATCATTCTCCAATTAAATTATACTATGAACAACCAATATCTGTTCAAGAGCATTTTAGAATTGGGTTTGTTAATGACAAGTGAACAAACTTCCACAGAAGAATGGAAGGGAAAGTATATCTAGAAGTCTCCACAGACACAGAGGGGGACAAAGACAGCAAAATCCTAGTGAAATATTTTTATCATGACTTCATAAAGCAGTCTCAATTAAATCTCTTAAAGCAAAGATATTTCCTGAGGAAGGATGAGGTGATGTTAGCATGAAAAAAGATTTTACAAGAAGAATTGCATGGGGGGATATTTATTCTCTGGAGGTAACAGAAAACTTGGTTTATTGATTAATTTGCTCAAAATCCTTCAATTTGAACTGTAATTAGTTCAAAACTCTCAAAAAAGTTCATTAAGTTGCACAATTCAACCGTGAATAAGTTAAGACATCTACAAATAGCATTTTTTTTTTTTTTAAAGTTCACATTTCATAACAAATGAAAGGTTTTTTTCCAGCAATCTCTATCTATGTTTTACTCTTGGTCTTCACAGATACAGTGCTTTGTTATTTTATGTTTCTCCTAAAAGAAGAGCTGCACTTCAAAACCAGACAGTAAAGAGTTCATGCAATTGGACACTTCAACTGTATGTTTACTTTTTGTAAATTGCTTATTCGGGCAACACAATCTTTTTACTTGGAAGTAAATAAACAACTGGTACAAAACCATTCACTGTTAAGGATTTTGGAATGCTAGGACACACAGGTTCTTCAATAACCTAAGATAAACCTAAGAAGTTGAGGCTTTGAAAGTAGAATAGAATGGTCATATTTCAAAGGCATTTCTACTTAAGTTATTAAGTTTCAACAACTTAATTGAAATAGGTAAGCTTCTCTATTGTTTTAACATCCAGCCTACCTGAATACCATCAAATATTTTTACTAGCAGAAAATGTATTTTAAAAGAACTTAAACAGAGGAGTCTGTATGATGAAGTGAGAAGCTTTCCAAGCATAAAAACTATAAAGTATTAACACAAGAGAACTTTGTCACTGATTTAAATATCTAAAAATAGAGTTTTTCACACAGTCTTAGTATCAGAGCATTACAGAAAAAGTTTATTATGCCAACATCTCAAACTAAAACATAGTCTATGAATATACATACATACATACTCAAAAGAACATGTGGTAACTTGAACAAACAAACAATATTAATTCGAAGTACTCAAGTGGAGATCTTTTCAAATTAAATATTAAGACAGGAGAATAGGAGAATTTTGCCTTTTTTTTTTACTTTTTTTTTTTATTTTTAAACTAGTGCTATGGGAAAAATAGATTTTCATGTAAAAATGTGAGCTTCAAAATTAAATAGATCCCCTTGATTTGTATTTAAAAATGAAACTCTTCACCAAAAAAATGGCACAGTAAAGATCAAAATAAAGAACAATCTTAAACACAGTAGTTAAACATTATGAAAGGAATATTGTTTTTCCTTAAGTGGTGTCTAGGGAATTTACCAGAAAGTGGTCAACTACTCAAGGGAATACTACTCCATTTTTAAGTTACAAAAGCTGACAGATGACCACAGATACATGAAAGAAAACCACTAATACATACTAACATCTAA